TTAATGCTATTATTTGAAAGCTTAAAAAATTTAAAAATCAAGTAAGCACTGCAGAACTCACATTATTTACAGATTGCAATAGTGAGTTAATGTAATTAACTACCTGGCAAACAATAATAATAAAGACTTCCTGGATGAAATGGTGGTACATTAGGGAAGTTTGTACGTATTTTAATTTTCATTCATTGGTAATAAATGAAAAATAAAACAAATACAACTAGCCTTCTATTACTAGAATCTGGTCAATTTATGGGTGATGATAATAATGCAAATTTGGTGTTGTCTTCTTCACAGAGCACTGTTGTCCAAGGATCTTAACAAGCCTGTGAGGTAAACATTACCATCCCTAGTTTAAAGAAACCAGGATGGGACGGATTAGGATTTGCCCATGGACAAAGTGGCTGACAGAATTTGGGTTTTCTGTTTGTTGGTTTGGTTTGGTTTTTGAGACAGAGTCTCACTCTGTCCCCGGGGCTAGAATGCAGGGGCATCAGCCTAACTCACAGCAACCTCAAACTCCTGGGCTCAAGTGATCCTCCTGCCTCAGCCTCCTGAGTTGCTGGGACTACAGGCACACACCACCACACCCAGCTAATTTTTTCTATATTTAGTAGAAATGGGGTCTCAATCTTGCTCAGGCTGGTCTCGAACTCCTGTTGAATTTACGGTATCAGAGGTATTGCGACTTTTTAATGTTGCCCACATTAGCCATTTTTAGATTTACATTTTCTTCCTCTTTTTTTTTTTTTTTTTGAGACAGAGTCTCACTCTGCTATCACCCAGGCTTGAGTATAGTGGTACAATCATAGCTCACTGTAACCTCGAACTCCTGAGCTCAAGCAATCCTCCTACCTCAGCCTTCCAAGTAGCTGGGACTACAGGCACCATCATGCCTGGCTAATTTTTTAAAAATTTTTTGTAGAGACAGGGTCTTGCTATGTTGCCTAGGCTGGTCTTGAACTCCCAGCCCCAAGGGATTCTTCTGCCTTGGCCTCCCCATGTGCTGGCAACATTTTCATTTCCTCAGTGAATAAAACTAAGGTGCACAATGGGCCTTACCATAAAGTTGCCAGACTTTAAAGCCAAAGAATAGATTTTTGTTCAAGGCACTCTTTTAAGTGCTTTACATATGTTAATTTAATTAATCCTCAGAGTAATTTCATAAATTAAGTGCTAACACTGAGCTACAGGTTAAGTAACTCCAAAATTCATAGTTAGTGGTGACACTAGGATTCAAACCCAAGCCCAGTAATTCCAATGACAGAGTTTTTAACTGTTGGACTCTACTGCTTTGACCGAGGAGACTGTTTATCTTAGGTATATTAAATGCATTTCTCAGGATCTCCAGATTGGACATTCCTTTCTCTAAGATTCCAGACTCTCAAAAGAACAGATGTTGAGACACTTCCTTAGGGTTTTATTATCCCATTTTACAGATGAAGTTAAGTGACTTGGCCAAAGTCTTAGTTTATTAAGTGACCATGTTAGAAGTAGAACTTAGGTCCTCTGGTTTCTAGCCCACTGCTTTTGGCATCAGTTCAAGTGATCTGCCCATGTTGAAATTTTGTCACAGCAGCAAAAGCATGTCTACATCATTCACATTTCAGTGCACCTTCAGGTGTATCCTGGAATACAGTTAGGTCAGCATGGAAACCTTCCAGTGTTCATTGTTTTACAGTGTTTATACCTTATGGAGTGATGCATGGATACACAGTAATGGAAGTCCCTATGGATATAAGGGAAACCTATTACTGTAAGCATTTTTTAATGCTCTTAATATATTCTACAAAAAAATTAATTTGGTCATAGCTAATATTGTCAAGAGCCAACATTTTAAAATATTCACATTTCCAAATCTTGAAATGGTCAGCAAATGACATGACAAAACTCATTTCAAATATTCAAACTCAAGCAAAAGTGTAAAGAAATGCAGCAATTTTTTTCAGGGCCTTTGTTCAAAGTTTTTTTTTTTTTTTTTTTAAGAGAAAGCTCCTTCTAACTTCAAGTAGAGTAGAAAACTAGTTTAGTTTATTTCATGCTACTCAATCTAATTTGAAATCTCTTTTTAATTCTTAGGTGCTTGGGTACAGAAAGCTTGCTCCCTAGAACCTTCTTTCCTGACAGTGGAGAGTAAAAAATTAAATTGAGCCGAAACTAAATTGATTGACATTTTGACACTCCGCAGACTGAAAAGAAAGGGAATTTGTTCAACTTGTTAAAACAGGGAGTAGCAGAAAGAACTATTCTCTTAAAGCTATGCTAGTTTGCAAAGAGGGTGTAAGTTTTTTCTTTAAAAACCAAGAGGCATGTTCCAGCACTTTCCCAATTTCCTACATTACAGTTCAAAGTGAGAATTTAACTTTGAAAAGCTTTTGAAAAGGCCTGGATGTTGGGTGTTAACATAGTCTCCTTAACCGAACAGGCACTGATAGAGGTCTTTTGAGGAGAAACGAAAGGACTATGCACTTCTGGGGCGTCACTATAGGAACCTATTTATAAAAGATAACTATACATATTTATGAAATCTTTAGCGTTTTTAAATGCAAGAGATATTAAGTGCGAATTGAGTAAGATATATTTCCTGCTGACTTCTTTTTCAGACAGATACAGATGATTACCATGCCATCATCCTTGCTAAATGGCATCATTTAGTGTTGACTTCAATAAAATCCCATCTTTGCTGTGTCATGAAAGGAACTGGACTCACCTTAACAGTGCTATTCTAAAGTGCCTGCTGCCTTTTTTTGATCACAGCAGGAGGCTGTAATAAATTACAGCCTGGAAGAAGTTTCAAACTGGCAAGTTTGCCAGATATTTTAAGCAATTTATTTTGGGGTGTATCAGCAGATTTTTTCTTACACTGCCATTTGGGTGCCTGCTGACACAGCCTGAATAAATCTTTCAAACATTTTCCTTCCTAGAGATGGATGAATAAGATGAACTCCAATATCCAGACCTTCCATTAACTCTTCACTCGCCACCTGGGTCCTTCCTATTACCAGATCTCTAGAAAACTTAAGATGTCTCTTTCCAACGTGAGTTTACAGTATTTCAAGCCCTCAGTGCCTTGGCAATAGCTTTAAGTTTTATGGAAGAATCAACTAACAAACGAGTGATTGTGGCTTTTTTTTTTTGAGACAGAGTCTCACTGTGTTGCCCGGGCTAGAGTGCCGTGGCATCACCCTAGCTCACAGCAACCTCAAACTCCTGGGCTCAAGCGATCCTCCTGCCTCAGCCTCCCGAGTAGCTGGGACTACAGGCATGCGCCACCATGCCTGGCTAATTTTTTCTATATATTTTTAGTTGTCCGATTAATTTCTTTCTATTTTTAGTAGAGACGGGGTCTCGCTCTTACTCAGGCTGGTCTTGAACTTCTGAGCTCAAACAATCCGCCCGCCTCAGCCTCCCAGAGAGCTAGGATTACAGGCGTGAGCCACCACGCCCGGCTATTTCACTAGTATTTTGAAAATCATCAAACTTTCCAATAGGAAAAGAGCCTTGTAAATTTATAGAAAACAAAGACATTGTTTTCTTGATTCTAGCATGTTGAGTCTTAAAGTGACTTCTTCCTAATTTTAGTCGGTTTTCTCCTCTAATTGGTTAGTGAAGTGATTTCTAAAAATTATTAATTTCTGACTCTAGAATTCCTAAAGCAGTTTTATTGATATATATTTTAGTCAAGTATTCAGAAATGCTAAAAATACTGATACCTGAAAATATGTGCTCTGGCATAATGAGACTGGAAGGGTAAAAGATAAGGGAGCTAACTTATCTGCATCGTGCCAGCCCCTTTTGTAAGCCACCACGAAGCATGCAGGACAGAGAGAGAGAGAGGTTCTCATTTTACAAAGAGGTGGTTCCTAGTCAGGTGAAAAGCACTGTTCAGTGAGTTGGAAGGAACACGGTAAGGGCTTAAGCCTCTAAAAGGATCAGGAAATATCGTTTGGTGGTAAAAGCCCTAGATCAAGAGTCATAAAAACCTAGGTTCCTGTCTGAGTGACATCATTTTACAAACAAGGTCATCTGCCTAGACCCTGAATACTTCCACATCTGTAAAGTGAGTATTTAATCTCTAACCTGCCTTCTTAACCGTGGCTGCACGTTTGAATCACCCGGGAAGCTTTGAAAAATACGTTTAAATCCCACCCTGAAGAGATTCCAATTTGACTGGTGTAAAGTGCAGCCTGGGCATTGGGATTTTTTAAAATCTCCACAAAGTAATTCACATGTGCAGCTACGGCTGTGAATCCTTGGTTTGGAGGACGGCTGGAAAGCCCTCTATAAATTTATTTGCGAAGTAGGTGAGCAGATGTTACCGACAGTATAAATAAGTTTTCTTTTTTACCATAACTTCAACTGTTAAAAAAAAAATCTAATCTCTGAATTTCCTCAACACATAGGAAGCCATTCATAAGTATTTGTTGCATTTGTGAATACATGTACTTAAAAAATTTTAAGATCATTCAAAAAACGGAGTTTGTTTGAGGTACAATGTATAGAGCCGGTCAAGAGGCAGGACTTTTCCGTTGAAACGTTCCCCTTAGAGAAATTCGAGCCTTTCCCGCCCACCCGGGGCTCGCTTCATTCCCTGGCCCGGGCAGCGGCATCTTGGGGCCTCCCCTTGCCCTACAGCCCCGGACGCTGGCTTCGGGACCGCGTGGGCGTCGCGAGCTCGGGGGCGGGGCGCCGACCAGACCCACCTCCTGGCCCTGTGGACCCTCCCTCACCCCGCTCAGGCTCCCCGCCCCGGACGTGGGTGGGGGCGGGCTGCTGCCGGCGCCTGGCCGCCCGGACTCCACAGCGGAGCCCCGGGGCTTCGGCGGCTGCCTCCGCGCGACCCGGCGGGCCAGCTCTGCCGCCGGGTGCCCGCACAGCCTGCGCCTCCGCCCGCAGGAGCCCAACGCGAGCGCCTCGTGCCCTAATCGGGCAGAGGCCAGGATGCGCCACTTTGGGCCGGCCCCACGACCCTGAGCACGTTGGCCTTCAAAAGGAAGCTGCTCTTCGCCTGCACCTGCAGCCTGGGTGGCCCCGACATGATCCCTTACTTCTCCGCCAACGCGGTTATCTCACAGAACGCCATCAACCAGCTGTGAGTCCGCCGTGCGCCCTTCCGCCTCCGCGAACGCTCTGAAAGTTTGCTTTTCAGCAGCCGCTTCCCCAGCATCCTGGGGAGCAAACAAGCAAGGGAGAGTGAAAGCGCACCCTGAGTGCTTGGCGGTTTCCGGGCGTCCTGAGGGATGGACGATGGTGTGGAGGTGTGGGGTGATTCTTGGAGGCAGAAAGTTTCGGGGGTGGGAGTGGACAGAATCATTTGGGAGAATTGCTGGTAAACTTTGAAGGAATCTGAAAGTGGGTCGCCTGGAGAAGTTGTCTGTGGTGACCGAATGACAGCCGAGCCATTTGGTATTCGGGAGACTGGGGTGTAGGGTGGTCTGTAGGATCAGAACAACCGGCCGCAAACGCGAGGGACTCCCTGTGGGTCCTGCTGGTGACCAACCTCCCGTGGTGGTGGTTTTTGTTTGTCTTAAGTATGTTTGCGTGTGACTGTAAGTTTCTATTGCAAGCCGTTCACACAAAGAAAGGTAGTTCATTCTTCGTTCCTGCTGGTTATATAGTCTGGAGTTACCTCAGAAAAAGATTTCGGTAGTTTAGCTGGGGTTTCCCCCCCCCTCCTCCTCCCACCCTCTCTCCTCCTCCTCCCCCTGTACTGTTACTTGCTCACAACCCCAAGCCTGCATGCACACCTTCATTCACTAAAGTGCAAGATTCAAGTGAGTCTTTAAATCGTCACTATTTTTGAAGTTTCTAGAGTTGTCTTTCTCTTCCATTGTACTTTAGCTGTTTCTGAGAATTGTGTGTGCTGAAGCTTGTGGTTAATCTCACGTAACAGTTATGAAGCTCAAACCAGAGGAACTGTTTACTATTCAGATTGTATCCTTAGGCCAATGAAGCGGTTTAAGGTTACTTTAGATAGCAATTTGGTCTGTGTTCGTATATTGGCACGCTCTCCGAGCAGCTTCAGAAGAATCACCTGCCAAAGTTTCCCTACTCTCTTAGCACTTAAGCAAAGCTACTGAATGCCTCCCTCCCAGGTTAGCTTTTTAATTTAATGCCCAACAACGGAAACTTTAAATTATCCCTTATTGAACGTCCAGAGAATAGCATGTAAATTGTGTTATAGGTAATCTTACACCTAATTTATTATTTTAATTGTTGGTTTACCCTCCTATCCTCCAAAATAGAATTAAACTCATTTCAGTTGTAGATTTTTTCCTTTGTGTTGATTGGTGGTGGAGCTCCTAAAAAATAGAAAACAGAAAAAAAGAAAAAGTGGTTTTACTGCCATGCACTGTAAACTGTACACAATTAAATAAACTACCTTACTTGCATTTTCTTTCTAAAAAGAGGGAGGCACAAGTGAAATGAAAGAGAACGAAGGTGAATAATCTGACTCTGGATAATCAATCTCACTTTTTAAAGTGTTAACAATACTTTAAAAACAAAAAAGGTGGTGGAAGCAACCCAAGTGTCGGTGGATGGATAAATGGAAGAACAAATGTGGTACATACATTATAATGGACTATTATTTGGTCTTAAAAAGGAAGGAAATTGTGACACATGATACAACATGGATGAACCTTGAAGACATTTTTCTAAGTAAAATAAGTCAGTCACAAAAGGACAAATACTGTATGATTTCATTTATATGAGGTACCTACAGTAGTCAAATTCAGAGAGTCAGAAAGTGGTTGCTAGGGGTTGAAGGGGAAGAAGTGGTAAATTTGTGTTTAATGAGTACAAAGTTTCATTTGGGGAAGATGAAAAAATTCTGGGGATGGATAATGGTCGTGGTTCCACAACAATGTGAAAGTACTTAAAACCATAGAACTGCACACTTAAAATGGTAAATCTTATGTATATTTAACCATAAAAATAAAAAAGACCAGGCACAATGGCTCATGCCTATAATCCTAGCACTCTGGGAGGCTGAGGCGGGAGGATAGCTTGAGGTCAAGAATTTGAGACCAGCCTGAGCAAGAGGGAGACCCCATCTCTACCAAAAATAGAAAAAATTAGCCCATTGAGGTGGCACACACCTGTAGTCCCAGCTACTCGGAAGGCTGAGGCAGGAGGATCGCTTGAGCCCAGAAGTTCAAGGTTACAGTGAGCTATAATGATCCCACCGCACTCTAGCCAGAGCAACAGAGCCAGACTCTGTCTCAAAAAAAAAAAAATTAGAATTTTTAAGGCAGAGCTTCTAAACTTTTGGGGGGGAAAGGAGTTTTGAGTCATGCTTTCTGGTGTAATCAAACAGGTCCAGATTTCTTTTCCTGCTAATTAATGTCTTTGGATAAATCATTTGACTTCAGTTTCTTCCACCGTAAAGTGGGAATACAGTGGCTTTTAACCCTTAGGATCATAAGAGATCATATATTTGGTAACACTTTGTGAACTGTAAATGCCTACACAAAAAGTTAATTAAAGTTAAATGAAAACTAATAACTGCCACTTACTGACCACTTAATGTATGTTAGTGTATGTTATATCGTTTAATAAGCACAGCAGCCCTATGAACTAATTTCTGAGACTTAGAGACATTATTGCTCAAGGCAGTATAGCTTGTCAGTGACAAAAATGTCCTCAGAATCTCGATCCATTTCTTAGTCCAGTGCTCTTAACCACTATAAAAATGATATTTTGTCTTAGTAGTGGCTAGGTCACTTTTGAGCCTTGGCCGTCTTAGGAATTACCTTTGCTAAGATCTTCAACTTAGAGAAAAACATTTGCTATTCTGAGTTTTGCTACTAAGGTAGATAAATTTTTAAAGTATTTTCAGAATATTTCTCTTTGGTTTTTGTCTTTTGCCACCTTTTTTTCTTAAAACAGACTTGCTATAATATTCACTTCTTCTAAACTGTATTTATTAGTATTGCTTTAGAGGTCATGCTTATTCAGCATTTATAATGTTGCCCAGCTCATCATTATTAAAAAGAAATCATTGAGGATCACTCTTAATAAAATACTAAACTTTATGAGCTTAACCGTACCCATTGTTGGCACCTAATGTAGAAGTTCTTAGTTTGGGGTCCATGGTCACCTAGAAGTCTGTGGATTGACTTCAGAAAGTCAATGAATTATTATAATTCCCTGAGATCATGTGAAAATGTTAGGTAGATAAATACATATTTTTAAATCAGATTCTCAAAATAATCTGTGATCGCAAAAAAGGTTAAGAATTTCTTTCCTAAAAGGAAATGTTTATTTTTAAGATCTGATCCTGTAAATCTCAGCTGATGTGAGCATTTCCCTGTAGTACCAGATATGTAAATAGCAATGACTAGTGGGAGCAACTAAAAGACTCAGGACACTAAAGGGTCCTAAGTGAAGACTGACTCAAAGTGTGTATTTTAAGAGGGGATTCCTTGACACATGAGTACTCTTAGGCCAGTGGTTCTCTTGTCGCTGCTGAGGAACCTTTCGTAAGAGCTTTTTGCCCTTTCTCATTTGCTGCCTCAGATTTGCTATGGATTTAGAAACCAATGAGAATTGTGTCAAAGAGTAAGCCAAAGTGAGATCTTAGGGGACCTCCTATGGGGAAAATTCATGACCTTTATAGTGTGGCCTTTGCATACCTATTTTGGTGATTTCACAAGCTCTTTCTGATTTCTTGACTTTCAACTGTGTTATATATAAGTGAAATTATAGAATAGCTAGGGTATTACTGTACTTTATTGGTAATTATGTCATTGTATTATTGGATTAAGATCTCCCCTTGCCACTGTATAAAACTCACCAAATATGATATTATTAATATTTTTGACCTGTCAGTGAAGGACATTAACAAGTGTTCAAATTCATTGCAGAAACAAAGAATAGTTACTATAAGTGTTAAATCTACTATATATGAGCAACCCAATCATCTGATCAAACTTCAAGAGTCTTGGATCAGACTGAACAAAATGATCATGAAAGGTTCTATACTCTTTAAGAATCTGTACATGCTTTTTAAAAAACAAGAACAAAAATCTGAACTTCTGAAAAATGTGAAAGCTTATGATAGAGCCATTATTTCAGTCCCTGGGAATTGGTCACTAAGCAAGGGGCCAAGGTATTTGTTATTGTTATACACAAGACATATGTCCATTTTTGTGTCCTAAAAAGTTCTGGAAAGGATCAAGGATTGTTAGATAAAATGCTGGCAAAGGCTGCCATTAAAAATGTTCCCATTATAAAATCCTCTGATCAAAAGTCTTGGAACTTAGACATTTGAGACATTGCTTGATTTATTAATGAGGTTACGTTGAGCTTTATTTGGTTCATATATGAGTTTGACTTCTTAGATACACATCAGTGCTTTCTAAAGCTCAGCCTCAACAATAGAGGAGCATATTGAGATGATTATCCAAAATGTACCTTTTTGTGAAATCAAAAGGTAGAAACAGTTTTATTTTTTTGTGTTAGTAATAGTACTGATGCTCTTTTAGTTCCACTTTGTGGTTAGTTGTCCAAGGGATTTCACGTATGCTCATTTCTGAATTTAGGCTTGCATCAGAATCACCTGGAGTGCTTGTTAAAACACAGTTGCTGGCCACATACCCCTGATTCTCTAGGTCTAGGGTGTAGCTGGAGAATTTGCATTTTCTAACAAGTTCCTAGATGATGGTGCTGATGTTGGTTTGGAGACCACTACCTTAAAGTATTCCTCTGAGGCAGATTGGGCAAGTCATCATCCACATTTTATAGAATAACGAACTAGAGAAATTAAAACTATAGAATTAAAATGGTGAAATGATTTGTACAGGACTACATAGCTCGTTATTGGTAGAACTGAAGCTAGAACTCTCAGAATGCTGCACTCAAAGTCCTGATGCATATATCTTTGTAAACATTTTTTAAGATAAATTTCTAGCAGTGGAATTTCTGGGTCTGATGGTATGTATATGTTAAAAATTTGATAAAGTGTCTGGGGCGCTGGGGCTCGCTCACACCTGTAATCCTAGCTCTTTCAAAGCAGGAGGATCTCTTGAGGTCAGGAGTTTGAGAATATCCTGAGCAAGAGCGAGACCCCATCTTTACAAAACATAGAAA